AATATGAAATATGATAGAAATGAGGTAATGATTAGTTATTGGAAGCTTTTAATTACAATATCTTACCTATGATTGTGTTTTATACTAAAAAAAATTAATAAAAATTTTCTAATCAATGCCAGTTTCTAATTTTTTTTTGTATATTAAGTAAAAATCCCTAGTTTTAATTAAGTGCATTATTACACAAAAATTTTACAACCACAATAAATATAATTAGTGCAATAAAGTGTTATAATTATAAAAAGGTTATAATTATAATAAAATATGTAATTTTGTATAATAATCAACATTTTACCCAAATTATTTTACTCCTAATAAATATAAGTGTACTTACTTAATTGGAGAAGGAATAATAAAATAAAAGTGTTGAAAAAAGGATAATAAAAAAATTAACATTTATTTGACAACAACAGGTTGCTTAATTTTACAATCCAATAATATTGTGTTAAAATCAAGAAGGTTTTATAGTATTTTGATACCACATTAAAAATTTTTTTTTTAAATAAATATTTATGTTCCTACTTTTATTGTATAATAATATGAAACACCTATTTATAATATACATGTATAATGTATGTATATAGTTAAAACTCTGTTAAATGATATTTAAAATAAGTAATATCTATGCATATGTGTAAATATATATTTCAAACTACATACATACATGTATATAAAAATTTATATTGATACTAACCCAAAATATTATATGTAATTACACTTAATTCTGTCAAAGTCATGATGATCATGATTAATACTTATAGAAAAATAAAAAAAAAAAAACAAAAAAAAATTCCGGTTGAGTGCGTTTATTCTTTTTGACATATTACAGTTGTTACAGAAGTTTAACACGACACGACGCATTTATAGAAATTAAAAAAATTAATGTCATTCTATAGCCTATTGTATATATATATATATATATATATATGAGTAGTATAAAGAGTGGTTTGTAAATTATTTCATGCAAGGGCCAAAATGAGAGCATGTTATTTATAATTTGTACGCCGCCTATGCTTATTTATTTTCCGAGGAGTTTGTTTGAAATTATCATGCAAAAAATCTTTAAATTAAATTGTAAATAAAATCATTTAGAATATTGCGAAAATGTCGCAGACGGAAGAAGTCAAGTCGGAATGCAATAATATTATAATACATGGAAAAAACACTTCATATTCTCGGTACATTTAGATGAGTGCAACAATTTCGATTCTTTTTCACAATATTACAGAATATGTATATTACAATTCGGCGTAGTGATTGCCGAATGGTTCCAATTTTGAAATATTTGGATTTCGAAAAAAAAATATTATTTTACTTCAAATATTCAACTGAAAATATTGTTTATATTAATTTTTTTTTTATCCCCAATTACCAACAATTAACACTGTTTAAGTAAATTTTCATAAAGATTATAAATTTTCATTTTAATTGACATACGTCAATGTATTTTTATTCTTAGCTGCACTTACTTTTAAATATTTGATCTGATTGAACTCATTCAAGAACTAAAATTGAAAAGTCAGCTAAAATAAAATTTTTATGTTCGGTTTGAGAGACTAGCATTTTTTTTTAAATTACTGTACTTGTATAGTATTAAGGCCCATTATATTTATTTTGGGTATACAGCAATTGCGATTTAAAAATCTACTACACGTTTACCCCGTAATGTGGTTATACAATTAAGTTATTAGTGAAGTAGGAGATTTTGTAAGGGGTTAAATGTTCTTTTACCGTAGAAAATTGAACGTAGAAAATTGCAATAATATGAATATTTTTGACGTGAATTGTATTCATAATGTGTTAGTAAAGAGGTCCCAATTTTCAACTCCTATTCCATTAAACTTACAATCATATTCTTTCATTTTAGCATCGAATATTACAAATTGTCCTTTCCTAGCTGCTTTAAAACTTTTCATATTAATAATTGGCCAACACATAAAAAGCTCAAATGGTTACAATTACAAAAAAAAAAATCGTAGATTATTCTCGACCTTATTGACTAAAATTTATCAAGCATAAAAATCTTATTGTGATGAACGCCTATCCCTACGTAAATTGAATAATGTTTTAAGTCATGGTATTTTATATTTGACATTACTTAATTCTGTAAACGAATCTATTTGTCGTTTCATAATCTTAAGCAATTTTAAGAATTTTTAAAAATCATTCTACTATGTAATTTAATCGCATACAATTTTAAATATGTTGGCTAGTAAGTTAAGTGCACGCTATTTTCCAAAAATAGACAGGTATATTAAATCAAAAAAAAATAAAGAAAAAGAAAAAACACAAAACATGAATAGTATTTGACAAGTTTAGCTAAATGAATACCTTAATATTCTCTGAAATTTATATGTCTGCACGTTTATATAATTTTTTTTTTTGTAATACTCGTATACGTACATATTTCATACATACTCTAATCATAAAGCAATCACGATGATATGATATGTAATTTGATATTAATTGTCACTTTAATTTTTACGTTGACTATATTGTTTTTACTGTGTATATTCCCTTAATCTTGAATCAAAAGATTTCGTTGGGATTTTTTTTCGGTTTTGTTATTATAAATTCTCAAACTGTTCCAGAGCTTGTGGATTATAGATTTCAATATTAAGGTAATATTTCTTAATCAGTTCTAGCATTGTTTTCCAGGTTGATAAATCAAATGTCCGTTGTAATTCTTTCCTTGTCTAAATTCATATTGTGCGTTTTAATTAATACAATGTAGAACATTTGATAATATTGCAAGGAAACACCTCAAACATGTACCAAACTAAAAATTGAAATCAAGGCTTTTGACGTCAAATAAGGTTAGAATTCATTCTGCATTGCTAATATATATCTACATTGACAGATACATATATGTCGTTATGTACGGCATTGTATGGAAATGGGGGAACGGTTTCATAGATTCCGAGCTCTTTAATGAGAAAAAAACTGCTTGCCATCCTAGAATATTATAAAGGTTAATTGGCTTAATTGCCATTCTAGAATTAGTCATAAAAGATCGATAATACAAATAGTTGCGGACCTTTTCTTTTTACAAATTTTTGACCATTATATTACAGATCAAACAGGGGGGAGGGTATTGGTCGAAAATGTTCCTTGTTCAATTTGATCAATCGAGTCAACTCTTGTGATATATGGACTCAAAAGATTTTGCGTTTCTTGTATAGTTATAAGACGGTTTTCTTTTCAGCTGTTGAAAGAAAATTTTCAGTTTATTTTAAGTTTTAATGACCGAATTCCCCTACCACAAAAAAAAAGCAAAATGAAAAGTTTGAAAACACAAATTTTTCTTGATCTCCTAAAAAAAGATTTTCGATTTTTTTTTTAGTTCTTGCGGTTTTGTTTCCATTCTGTTTTTCTTATTTTTCTTAATTTGTTTGTCATGATTTTGTTTTCTCTTGATCTTAACAAAACTTCCAAATTGATCTTTCAGATTTTTTTTTAATTTTTTTTTTACGATGGTGTAGATTTCTCCAGTATTTACGAGTAATTCCAAAATCTTAAAATTTTTTTTCGTTTTATTTTACTTTCGTTATTCTTCTTTTTTTCTCTTTCTATTTCATGTTGTTTTTGTTTTCTCAATGTCTATCACATTTTCTTCTAAGTATTTTATCTTCTTGCCTTCTTAAATATTATTTTTCTTTTTCATTTAATTGTTGTTGTTTTTTTTTTGTTATTTTGTTATTATTGGAGTGTTTCTCACTAAATTCATTTGACAGTTCATAATGAACTTCTTTAATGACAATGGAATTGAGCATGAATGAAGTCATTTCCACATATTCATAAGAAAAACTGGCATAGCAGCAAAGTAAAACATAAAAAAGATATAGGATAAGAAGAAAATGTTAAATTGAAAAAAAGAGAGAAAAAATATAAAGAAAACAGAAAAAGAAAAAAAAAGGAAAAGAAGGAAAAATTTATGATTTCTTCCGAAGGATCAGAAAATTGAATTTATTGCAGCTGTACATTTTCTATGTGTGTTGTTAATTTTATTGTTGTTGTCATCCTTTTTATTGTTGTTATTTTTTTTTTATATTATATTATATAGTATACTGGGATAGGTATTATAGTAAAAAAAAAGGTTAAAAATTCAAATAAATTGAGTGAGTGATATGAGTGAACGAATGACGAGAGAACTATTTTATACCATTTTTTGTTGTTGTTTTCATTATGCTCATTTTTGTTGTTGCTGTTATTGCTGCTATAATGTTATTATTCTTATTACTATATTCTTTGTTATTGTTATTTTTGTTTTTGCTTTTCTTTCCCTTTTTTTTTTGTTGCTGTTGTTGTTTATGATAAAAGGGCACAACCGACTTTTAGAATTCAGTCCAATATTTTTTTTTTATTTTTGTATTTTCCTTATTTATTTATTCATGTATTTTTATATTGTTATACCCGTTCATCATAAACGTATATATGATTATGTTTACTGTATTTTTTCTTTTTTCAAATTTTTATATCTTACATACATACATGTAAACATATTATATTATGTATATCCATGAAAAAAAAGAATATGTGTTACTAATGATATTCTGGTTGTGCGGATTCAATGATTTAGTGTGTTTTTGAATGTGAGACGTGTAATATCATACCCATCATCATTAATTTGTAATAAAATAAATTTTCAACGTCGTCTGCGTTGAATTGTGTCGTCGTTATCGTCGTCGTCATCGTTGTCTTTTTTTTCACGAACTCTTGGATGTTATTTTTTTTCTCTATATTTCCGTGATTTGATTTTTGTTGTGTGATTTGAATTAAAATACTTTTTTTATTTACATTCTTTTTTTTTACCCTTTATATTCCATCATAATAAAATAAGCAATTTATGTCCGTGTTTTATGATATTTACTATTTTTTTAACAGTATTATTATTAAAAAAAAAGTAGTAAAAGTGTTATTGTAAAATATTAATGAAATTTAATAGATTAAAAGCTAAATCAAGTGAATAAATATCAGTAAAATACAAAAAAAACAAAAATTATTTTGAAACTTTTTTCAAAATGTTTAAAAGAAAGAAGAAACAACTTAACTTTGGCAGTATTAGCCGAAAGAAAAAGAAAAATATTGACTTAGAATTGTCATTATTTGGTCAAAAATGTTACGTACAATTAATTGATTTAGCGGTATGTGAATTGAAATATTTTTATATGATAATTTATATTTATTTTAATTTTTTATATTTATAATTCTGTATTTTCTGTAATATCCAAAAATATTTTATATTTCAAGTTTAATTATGTATACATATATGTACAATCTGATTAAACCAAATTCCCAATATTTAAATATTAAAATTAAAAATTAACTAGATTTCAGTACAATTTTCATGCCGGATTTGATAATTTTAAGTAAATTTGATCAATATTAAATTAAGTGTTATGAGAAATGAGATTATTGGTCAAACATTAGGAAGTCAACAATTTTAAATATTTTATAATTACTGGCAGCGAAATTTTTTACATAAAAAAAAAAATAAAAGTATTGTGTTATCTGGAGCCGCCGCCGTCTGCCTATCCTTGTAACGAAATTTAATTCTTGAAAAGAAAACCATCTATATGTGTGCTATATATCATGCGTTTGAAATTCTGACAATCCTTACTATTTTGATTTCTAATAAGTCAATTAAAATTATTGTTTTAATGTAGGGATAATTCTATACTAAGATAGATATTTTTTGAATACTCAGTTCTTGTAGTTAAAACTAAAATTTGCGAAATACTTAAAATTTTGCAGTTCTGACTTCGAAAATTGAATGTTTGAATTCTCATTTTTCAGTCACAATATCAACTACTATGACTGAAAATGTTCAAAGTATTGCGATTGAGAGTTTCGTAAATAAAAGTGCAAGTATAGCAGATATAACATTGCCGGTATAACAGACTTTTTTTTTTTCGATGAATGTCTAAAGGAATGTTTTTGTACTGATATCAGTTATATGTAATTTACTTCTACAGACATTATTTACTTTAAATGTATACTATCATATTTATTCTCTCATGAATAAATATGATATTATGTATAATATCATATTATGTATAATATCATATTTATTCATGAGAGTTCTTACCATTGTTTTTGACAAATTAAGTATATTTTTATAATAAAAAAAATTAATTTAACGTCTAAAATATTATTTGATGTCTGAATTTACATTTTCTGAGAGTAAAAATTTCATATACAATTCATATAAATTAATAAACTTTATATATGTATGTATGTAGAAATAAATTTCGTACGGCAAGTGCATCGCATAAATCAAAATATTCGAATGTATTTGAACATTTCCATCAGTTTTGACAGAATCGACGTAATATGTAATTACTAATAAACGGCCGTTGTAATTTGCTCTGATGACAATTAAACCATTAGCGTTAACATTTTTTTAATTGTATGTAATTCGATAAATTAATAATAGACGTTGCATAATTTACTTATAATGAATTATTGTACCTACATGTATCCTACTTTTTTATTAAGTATAAATTGTTTGATAAGAATTATCTAAAAAAAAAAAAACTTGTCAACACCATAATATAATTTAATTATTATAATCTTATGTTTTCTAATTTGATTAATAACCCTTGAATTGTAATAATAATTTGCTTATTAATTTTTATTTAATAAAATAATAAAAATATCTTTTTCACTTGTTTAATTTCCCATGAGATAACAAAAAAATAAATACATGTTTTATTTCCGTCGCATCCGACGGAATTTTTCTACAAATGATCGAGCAAAATATTGATTATTTTCTTTTTTCTGCGCTTAATAAATTATTAATATACATTAAAATATTAAATAAACTTTAATATGACTATTAGAATTTTATTACTTAATTTATTTGCTTTTAAAAATTTAATTTGAATATTAAATATTAAATATAATGTGAATGTGTGAAATAAAAAAAATAAATTAACCCCCGCCGGAAAATATTTTAATGAATGAAATTTGTTTTAAATTTTAATTATATTTTTTATAGGTAATATATTTTAAATATTTTGTTATAAATAAGAAAATTCAATGAGATTTCTTAAGAATTCACGATACACGATCACAAGCATGCATTTATATACTAATATTGCACTTGAAATTGAGAGAATGACAGTTCATCGCGTTGGGCGCCTCAATGTGGATGGTAATTCTTCTGAAAAAGATACCCAAAATATGATAAGTTGAATTTTTCTAGAATATAGTGAGGCAAAATCACTTTATCATGTAAAATGGTGAGGTAATGATTATTTAATCCCGTCGGTAGTGACGCTGTCGGCTAAAATAGCCGCATTGAAATTTATTAATATACATTTTAAGAGAATAATGTTTTGGGTATACTTATATTACTTACGTATTGTATAAACTCCTAATCGTGGGGAGTAGGATCATATGAATGATAAAAAATTTTGTATGTTTATTAAGTTCAATAGTAAAGGTGTACTTTCACACTATATGACTTCCCACATAATTTTCGTTAAATAAATTCAAAAAGAAACTTATAAGGAAAGTCACGTTGTTTGAATATGTCGACAGTTACGTTTATGTCGGGTATCATATTTAAAAGAATGTAGTCTTTGAAAGAATGTAGTATTTTCATTTAAGTTTTTTGACGCCTTCATTCTTGATTTACCGTATGGTTTTTCACATAGCTTGGAATATACTTAACTTCTATATAAAATTCCGTCGCATTTCAATTTTCTTATTAAATTTTCTTTAAATAGTTTAATGTATTTTTCAAACATAAAAGCTAATGGCAATAAAATGGGTAATATCGAACGAACATGGCATTCATTTTTAATCAAACACCTTACAATTTATGATTATGCCAAGTTTTTCTTTTTAATTTTAAATTTATTTTAAAAAATCAACTTTGTATTAAATGCTTGAGCCTGTTTATATGTTCTTGAAATAAAAAAAGAATCATGTGAAGTTCAAATTTTTATTACAATTTTATGACTTTATTTTTTCGTTTATTTTAAAATTGGAAATAAACAATTTTTTTTATACGAAAAGAAAACCGCATTGCTTATTAATAAAAAAAAATTTACATTTCTTATCATCCAAACATAAAAAAAAATTCTTTCTTTTGAAAATCATTTTCAAATGAAATCGAAAACAATGGAAAATGTATTTATGATCCATTAATAAAATGATGAAATTTGTAGAGAAAAGGGGGGAAAAAATTTTCATATTTGAAAATGAATATTAGATTTTAAAATTCTTCAGAAATTTTTTTTAAATCAAATTCCACTTGTTGTTAAATTTTTATTAGCCGATCTTAGTTGATTAATACATTAAGAAATTATAAAAAATTTTATAACATTATCAGTTTGGTGAAATTATATTTCTAAATTTTAAATAAACTGTAGGCAACCCTAACGGCAAACTAATAATAGCAAAAGTCGGCGAATAATTCATTTAAAATTTTTAATAATCGCAATTAATTTCTGTTATTACTTAAAAGTTGTAATGATAATTTATGCCACTAAAAAACTTAACTTATGTACATACATATAATGCTTATATAAATATTAATTTGAACAGTTTGTACTATATAATTTAGTATTGTATAGCGCCAGAATGTAGAAAATTTTTCCTAATAATACAAAATCTTTCCTAACTACTTATAGAATAACAAACTAATTTATGAATAAAAAAATAAATTCAATTAAAATTTATATATAATATTTAAATAACATGGCTGTAAACAATTTATAAAATAAACAAAATCATGCTGTAGCTTAAATATTTTAATTTTCTACAAGTTAGGCATGTGTGTGTACATTTCTAAATACAAGAACATTTAAATAATTTAAATATTTTAATTTTAAGCAAAAGAATAAAAAAATATTATTATAAATATTTTCTTTACAGTGAATTCCAAAATTTTTTAACTCATTTAATTTTTTTCCACCTTATTCCTTGGGTTTCAACTCATTATTCAAATCTAAACACAAATTATCGTTTTAAATTATAACAAAAAATAATTTGATTTTTAATTTATGTTCTCAACTAATTCAACAATCAAACAAGTTTTATCAAACGAGGATTATAAAACATAAAATCGTTGAACCAGGTGTCTGCTATCTTTGCCCAACTATAGTTGATTTGGAAGTTAAAGAAATAATTTTCTTTTTCTGTTTTTTTTTGTATTCAGTTAACAATAAGACCTGCTTATAATATAGAAGCTGCTTTCTTATAAATATGTATATGGCGAAGTTTATAGTTTCATATAGAATAAAGCTGTTGTATTGGTTTTTTTTCTGTATGATACATACCAGTTTATTAGAGGGGTTTTGCGTTTACATTTTACCGTTATTTAAAACTGTAAGTAAATAAACAACAAAATAGTTGTGTAAATATTTTAATTTATAAATTTAATCAGAAAATTTATTATAAATTTATTCAGAAATTTTATATTGTATTATTTAACGGTGACCTAACTTATAAATATATAAGACAAAACTGAAACACAATGCAAAACTCCTTATTTCGAATTTGAAGAAGGTCGAGATATTGTAATATTTTGATTCTTTGTGTTCCAATTTGCATAGGTAATAAAACAAAAGTATGCTAAATATTTCTTATAAGAAAATTTTTGTTTTAATTTATTCTAAAAGTAAGATTCTAAAATTTAAAGGTTGAGAAAGATATCCTTAAAAATTGATAACAAGTCTTTGTACTATTTAAAAACAATTAAATATACTTACTTACTTTAAATTTTGCATATTCGATTTCTATTAATAAATTTTGCTTAAATTAATTAAAATTTTCTTAAATTTTGTTGTTTAAACATTAATGGATACTTGTTTAATGAAAAATAGAGGATGTCATATATGTAGTTTTCAAAAAACACATTCATAAATTACATTTGATATTTAAATCTTAGGTTAGGCTCCCTCAGCTTCTCTCATTCTAATTTAGATTGCATAAATCAGTGTGAGAAGCGTTACTGCCTGATGATACAGAAAAATCTCAATAATATATCACAGATAATTATGACATATATATACTATTTCCCGTCGGTAATTATTGAACATGATTTTCTATTTCAATACTAAAATTTTCTGTTTACCTACTTCTTAAAAAAAAATACATTGATAATTATAAAATTCTATATTAAATTATTTAC